ATAATAACTTGTTTAGTATGCTACTGTGCAAACCGGATCATAGATCTAAAGAGCTCTGTTTCATACCAGCGTACGTCTGAAAATCTGAGCAAAGACAAGGCTCAACTTCAAATAGACGGGTCACTTTATCATCTTGTAACAAGTTACCTCACAAGAGGAATGCATATTTATTACCTCAACCCTTAGAGGCCGTGATCACAGTAACACATTGAATGAACGCACCGCCACGTAATCCAAATCAATTTTTGTCTTATTGCGAAGAATTTAGACACATAAAGCATCAATCAGATGGTGTAAATATATCCCCGGTGTGACTTACACACAATATCCAGACCTTTGTTTGTCACTCGACTAACCATTGAGGCTATGCATGGGTTCAGGTGAGCTATTATTCCGAGTCATTCGGTCTCATACGTCTTTCTCAGTCTAAAGCAATCAGTGCTAATTACCATCAGTCCCAGCAGGCTTTGCGATCAAACTGCTCAATAGAGGGCGCATTAGTGTCTGCGCTATATTTTCAGCTGAGCATTAATGTCAGAACGGATTATATTGGGGACCGTTTGTGGGGCATGCAGCTCATATTATTCGAATAGGTCCAGTTTAGGCTACAATTTAGAATTTCAATTTAGTCTGTCGTGTTGTGATAATGTTCTTTAATGGTACGAATGTGGTTAAAGTATCTCAATATTGAAATAATATGCTTTAATATTGCAGCAGATTCAATTGCACCACAAGTGAACGTTCTTTATGGAACTCAGATTGTACTTCCCTTTAAAACGTTTATGGTATTTGAAGTAGCTATCTCAGCATTAATCGTGGTGAAATTCGAGCAAATTCGAGATAAATGATATAAAAAAAGGAAATACAATTATTGTTGAATGCTTTATGACATTTACGTAAGGTGTGAACCTCCTCAATGAAATCATGTGTCAACTACCATTGATTGAACGATTGAATTCATACCAAAGGTGAGATGTGAATGTTGCCCAGCAACCTATGGTGGTAGTAAGATGCTATTTAATTGCTTGCGTGACTAGGCTTGTGTCATCGTGTCCCGAGAGCGTGTGTAGCTAGTGGTTCGTAGGATCAATCACAGATTTGTCTGCTCCAGGCTCGATTATTTGGGTGAAACCGTCTTTGCTGACACAATTGACATACAAACACTATCATTCAACAGACACATATTGCTATCATAAAGTAACTGGAGTGAGTGAGTGAGTGAGTTAATATTTAACGTCACATCGGCAATATTTCAGCCATATCGATAAAGTAACTGGATATATCTCCGTTAAAATAATATTCGTCATATTGAGGTAAAATTCTAGTTCCAGTCATGCATCATTAAGCATGATATTAAGATCGGATTTCATCGGCAAGCCTTCTAGTATATTTTCAGTGTTCATTGTTTATCATTAGTTTAATATTTTTTATATTCAATATATTTTTGTGCGAGTCACTATCATGTACCTGAGTCTTAGAAAACTATTCCAAAACAACACGTGAGTTATCATTAGTTTAAAAAGCAGCAGTTGATTCATTGTAAAAACACACAATTCCATCTCATATCATGTCCATAATGGCATATACCGTCTGTATATAAAGGAATTAATTATAATTATATGTTAGCTCTTACTTTCCTCAGATAATGGACTCGTGTGCAAGAATTAGGGTGATTTTCCCTTCTAATGGTTATAGCATAAAATAGCTTAAGTGACCGTTGTAACAAGATGCATTCCAAATATAAAACATTAATGTAATTCCGGTACAGAGGGATGCAAATAAAGTTATAGCTTGTTGAGACACGAACCGGAAATGCCGAATTGGAAAGCGATAGAATTATGTGACGGAAACACCCGACACTCTCTGTTCGTGAAACGTCGTAATTACACCAGACATGCGTTGCATGCACATCCTGCTTGGAGCAGAGGCTAAGAGCGCAGACATTTTGAGTTTATTTACAGGACGTGATTCCAATTAAGATTGATCCCGAATCTTAATGCAGTCTGCCAGTGATAGAAGCTGGCGATGTCTGGTGATTAATGTCCTTAAATGTTGAGTTCAAGGCAAATATTCAACATCTATAACCACTCTGTCCAACAAATGCGGCAGCGGGATCTCTGGTTCTACATCAAAACAGGGATGAAAGGTCAGCAAAGATGGGCAATCCATGTGTCCATATATGCTTAGATTGACCACATGCCTTGTCAACTGGATAGCCTCATGTCCAGTATTCGTTTCATGAATGACCATTACCTATCGAACTCCTACTCAGCTTAATCACGCGGGGGAAGATGCTGTTAAAAGTTTTTCTCTCTGTATCCATTGTAGTGTGGTGGGACGACTGGTGGTTAAGAACATATCTGATTCAATACAACCTACAATGATAAGCCACACAGAATATGGGCTCTGTGTACCAGATTACCAGATTGATTAATATGGCAAAAGCTCCACAAAGGACGTTATTCCTTGTTGAATTCTATTCTTGCCATGGACGTCAAAAGTATTCTCTATTTGCCGCACGGATTAGGTCTGTCAAAGATTATGATCAAGATATTATTTGTATTTCATTTCTCTTTCCTAACTTTAGAAGTTTAATTTTCCTCCTGAAGGTAATTAATCCCCGTTTCTATTTACACGTTGCTTTCAACTAACTCTACAAAGCATTATCATAGCGGATAAAACAAACAAAAAGCAAATCAGAATAAAGAACCGTATTGCTGGTCTGACAAAGTGAGTGAAGTTATACTTAGTCAAAAATATGTTTAATAGACGTCATTCAATCGTATTTGCATTTTTATATGCATTAATATGAATGGTTTTCCCGTTATGCTAGTTTAAAACTTATGGAGACATTTTTATACTCACCTTATTATTGACTTCAGGTATGTTAAATGTTCATGTACGTTTCATAAGAGGGAATATGAACATCTCCAGTTCTGTGACGGAAAGTTTATTCTTATTACACTTTTGGCATTAAGGAAGTATAGAGAATGCCTCAAGTACAAAATACAACAGGTTGGCCACAATTTGCAATGACGTCACAAGACATTTATATTTCTTGTATCACTAAATTCGGTACACTGTATTGAGAAATCAATTTTTACAAATAAACTAGTATTGGTTTATTTAGACTGATTATTCTCATTATTCTGGGTCTTTTATATTTCAAATAACAGTATTGTATAATATTTAATCAATTGTTTGGCATATTATACTTGTATATCCACATGATTTCTATTCATATCTGATTTGGATATGAATGCAACCAAGTCTACTTATCAAATATAGTCCGTGTTCTCACTGGAATTAACACAACATTATATTCAAAGGCTTTTCTCAAAATATACATTAGGCCACCCTTACATTACGTATTCAACTTCCCCAATATGTAATTATCCAAGGTACATTATTTTGGTTGCAGATGAAAAATGACTGCTAAAACTCCAGACAAAATGTTTCTATCTCAAGTTTCTGATAAGTAAGCATTGTGGTGCCATCGAGCATGTTCCTTTACAATTGGTTTATCAAAGACATGTCATTGTTTCAGATTCCAGTTTTATTATCACGTTGAGATTATAGGCGATATACTTGCTCCTCAAAAAAACATGTGGCTCAGTCAGTAAAAGTGCCGGTTTACTCCCACTTTCCCAACATTTGTTAAAACAACATGTTCAATTAGGCAGAGAACAGTAGAAGGATTAATTGGTATATTCCACTTTTAGGGGTGGCTGGCAATGAGGTGAGGTGAGGTGAAATTGGGTTTAAAGTCGTGCTTGAGAATATTTCGCTCACATGACGACGTGCATGCGTGTGTATGTGTATGTGCGGCTGCTTGTACTAGCCCAGACTTAAGCTGGTTTTAAAGTGCTAGCTCACTGAGATACCATGCCGCAGTGCCCCACTCAGACACAGTATACTGACTCCGAGCCGACCAGTCCTTGTTGTACCCAGTAATGCCGAGCGCCAGGCAGGGACCAACAAGTACCATATTTTAACGTCTTTTGGTATGACGCGGCCGTGTATCGGAACCGCCACCCTCCGCTCTCCGGGCGGACGCTCTAACCACTACACCACGGAGGCGGTCGGCTGGCAATGAGATCAGTTTACCCTTCGGTTAAGGTTTACTCTCTCACACTGTCGGTCACTAATCGAGCACACTGATGATGTAGCGTACCTTTTTTAAATTCTGCCATAATCATGATGTAAGTGCTGTAAGGACATACAAAAATACATGTCTTGTAAAACCTAAAACGTATGTGATATGTACTTAAAACATATATTAAAACAAAAAATATGTGAAACGTACACCTGTTATGTTATAATATGTTATAATATATGTATGTTGATTTTCCAAATATGTGATGTGTAGACAATAGTAGAAACTTAATGTTTCCATTTGGTAATAAAACTATATCTATTATGTGCCTAGATCCATATTTTCTAAAACTTTGGTCATTTATTTGACGAATAAAACAGGTAACTTTATTACAATCTGACACAAGCACACTATCTAGATCCCTGATGTTAAAGTGGACAACAACCAGTCACTTAAACTACCAATGTTCGGAAAGTTGGGGGACACCGACCAAAATACTAGAAATAATGTATAAACTAGCAACAACGTAATACGATTACAGAGCACACATAACCTCACGTATGCAAGGTGCTGAACAGCGCTGTCATTATATGTTATACTACATAGTTTACACATCCTCTAAACTAGAACAGGGCCGGTGGGGTAGCCTAGTGGTTAAAGCGTTGGCTCGTCACGCCGAAGACCCGGGTTCGAATCCCCACATGGGTACAATGTGTGAAGCCCATTTCTGGTGTCCCCCGCCGTGATGCTGGAATATTGCTAAAAGCTGCATAAAACCAAACTCAGTCAGTCAGTCTAAACTAGAACAGTACCATGATATACATTGGTCAGGCCTATCAAAACATTGTGTTACTATACACAGACATAAGGTATAGTGTTCTTATGTTTGTTTGACCTGTTTCAGCACCACAGCCATGGACAGCAGTCAGATCCTATCCATCCTCATGCTGGTTTTCGCAATGGTGCTCACAGGGATGGCTCTGGGAGCCAAAGAGGAACAAGGTACAAAGTCGACGTCTTTCAGTAATTTCCTAGCTTCAGTACATAAGACGCATTTGGTATCAAATCTTGCTTTCATATATTTATCTCCCAACAATTAAATAACCGTTAGCCTTTATTGCAAAATTTATTCGTCACGAACAAATTTCAATACAATTATACGTAGTCTTGCAAGGCATTTGTTTATGTTTTAGTAGCTAAAGACCCCAATTTTCAATTTATATACCTTATGAAATTAATCTTGATTCGATGCATCGAAAAATACACCTTCCAACAAGTGCGTCTTATATTTTCTGTCCAAGTGTTAACCCATTTACCCATATATATATTTATTACTTTGGCGACACATTTATATTGAACATTTGTACCGTAATCTTGCTTTGATGGCGACATCAATGGAGCAAAATTTCAAAAGAAAAATGACACATTTTGTCTTCTTCAAAACATTATATCCATACACAGATTATGGAACGAATAGCATATATTATTGAAATGTATATCATCTGGATAAAATATTAAGGAGTTGGATTAATATAGAGACCAACCGATCAGTTATTTCTATTAGCAATCAGTTTAGCTAAATTAAATATATTAACGCTATGTTCAGTGGAGATGTGTTTTAGCCAAAGGCATCCCTCGCAACTTCCCAGCACGTTATGCATTAAATTAGTTTAGTAGCTCGTATTAGTTTAGATTCATTGATTTTAAATTTGTTTTGAATGTTTGATTTCATCATCAGTATATCTAATCTTGTTTAAAGTATCATGATTGTTCATTTTTATGATTTGTAGCCCACCGTTCAGTTCTCTTCCCTTGCTCCCCATATTGACCTTCCATATAGACTTTTTCCTTTAGTCCTTTTATGTTCGTTGTACTACATTTTCCTTCATAGCTTCGACCCGTGAAGATCCGGGTTACAATTGATCTTCAGTAGCCCATGCTTGTCGTAAGAGGTGACTAACGGGATCGGGTGGTATGACTGACTGACTTGGTTGACACATGCCATCGTATCTCAGTTGCGTAAATCGGTGCTCATGATGTTGATCATTGGATCGTGTGGTCCAGACTCGATTATTTACAGACCGCTGTCATATAGCTGGAATATTGCTGAGTGCGGCGTTAAACAAAGAAAACAAGCAACTCATATACGACTGGATACATTGTACGTGTCCGCTACGTATATTTTATAAAATACAATGTTTGACTTTCTCAAGATAAACATTGGGATTGCATGTAAACAATTTCACCTTGAACCATACAGCAAGCACATACGACAAGTTACCCAGGGAGTACAAATCATTTGGTCCAGTGTAAACGTAATTTAGTCTGTTTCTGCTTTGCTTCCTATTATGTCCTGAATCAGTTCCCTTGCCTAAGACTAAACCAGTCTTCTGTAAAATTTCGTTTAGGCATTGGTAGACTGGTAATTCCTTTAAAAGAACCCCTGCATTTTAATTGACTCACTTGGTCATTTCACTCACAGGATATAACGTCAAATGTTTTTGCAACAAGGTAATAGTTTTTTCACTCCATTAACTTTTTCCTTGGATGTCTTGATTGAATCTTTACAAACCTAATGAGAAAACGTGGAATGATCGTAAGGCCTAGGTTTAACCTAAAAAACATTTCGATCCTTAAAGGATAATAAGATTCAGTCGGTCATACCTGCAGTTTGGATCAGAATCTAATCAAGTTTGAATTAATAAGTTTATTTCAAATGTTCAGGTTCAATACGTTAATAGAGCGGCGAGGAGTGCCAGTGTGTCCTGTTTTCGTTCACCATGCCAGTTTGATTTCCCACGAGTAGAAACTAGGTGATGTCTGTGTAACCAATTGAAAAGAGCAAAACTGCTCCCAAGAAAATCTTCAAATGTCTTGAGGAATAGGTTCTCTCGCATGGCTTGCCCTTGTAGTCGAAGTAGAGGTGAGGTGAGGTGAAATTGGGTTTCGCGAACAATTGGTTCCCACTTGCGTAGAACGATGCTTATGATGTTGATCACTGAATTGTCTGGTCCAGACTCGCTTATTTACAGACCGCCGCCATATAGCTGGAATATTGCTGAGTGCGGCGTAAAACTAAACTCACTCACTCAGTTTCACCTGGTGTCGTACATATATTCAGGGATTAATTCGTGCAAGGATTTTCATTGGCACTGTGCCTGTTTGAACCGATGAAGTCTTCTTTGGCAGATCATCAAGTCTTATTGTTCTCTGGAGTTAAGGTTTCATGTTCTACGTCGGTTGGAGCCATCGAGGCACGAAGAATCACGGGCTATTTGTCCCGATAGAATTCATGGAGTAAGTTCTGTAACTTATTGAAGATCGTTGAACGTTCACGAGGGACAGATAAACCGTATTTCCGATTTGCAATTACGTTATACCAGATATTACATTTTGCCCTTTTTTTGTGAGAAAAGCAGAAAAATGTTACTTTCCAGTTCTGAAGTGAACGTTTCTGATATCACGAAGAAAAGACCAGAATATACCAGATAATACCTTTTGCCTTTTTTTCTGAGACAAGTAGAAAAATGTGACTTTCCGGTTGTGAAGTGAACGTTTCTGATATCACGAAGAAAAGATCAAGTCACTTTCAGTTATTAGCGGCCATTCGTTTAAAGGACGACATATTGCTAAGACCCCGTTCGCTGTTAATACTGAACTAACTATCCAATCAAAATTAAGCAACCATTGTACTGCTCTTTGAGAATTCCTGAAAACATAATTTCGCCATTATGTACATCCACAACCTAAAACAATTCAATGGAAATATGGCAGATTACAACTTTAAACTTTTAGAACCGACAGCGTGAAGCGATTGCACCCCATTTATTTACGCTGTTTTGCACGAAGTCGTCCGTAAGTAATTAATGGTGAACTGGCGTAGAACGATGTCCACATCAGTAAACAACGTTCCGTGATGTCTTCTGATATTGGTCAATCTTTGTGACTTCAAGTAAAAGCGAGGAGTCCCTGTCTTGTCCGGCCAACAATAAAATAGACTTTGAAATCAATTTCTTACGGACTAAATCGTAAATATTTCTCCTTCTTTGGCTAGAGTACTGATGGTTTGTCTCCCCACTCATTTATCTGGATAGTGGGTCTCGTTTTCGGTTATTTATGAAGGGTCACGTCTCCAAGCGTTCATTAATTCAAAATGGCGTCTTTTAATCCTACCCTTCAGGAGCTATTTCCATGGACAAGCATACGCCAGTTCTTTGACAAAGATTTTAAAATGAGCAATGCCTGATAAAAAATGTTCATGCATGGAAACACCCGCATTAAAGCTTCACAACAGAAATCATTAGGTACACGTTCATGCTTAAACCTCTTTCCTCATTTCAGGTTAAATCGTTTACAAGCACCTGACAACCCATGCGATCTTAACACTGCAGAACGTTAGAACTTAGAACCATAAAGCTATCATGATATATTGAACAACAAAGTCAATACTGGTCGGCGTGATTGTTACTCGTTATGTTGACACAGTCATTTCCAAGAAATGAAAACATTAGAAGTTCAGACATTCCATAGTCTTAATTTCATATTGGTTCCCCATCACTATGAATAAGACATTTAGGAGCGTTGCCACAGTTGATATACCACCCGCTGTGGATACTCAAACAACAAAACAAATTGCTTTTAACCTCCCACTTTCCCGTTTCTTAATCGAAACTGATTTTTCACTCAATATGCCTCCTATTGTGTTAATATGGACCATTTCGTCTGCAATTAGGCATGAACTTTCTGTCGAAACGAAAATTCTTTTCAACAAAGGCGCGCAAGCTGAACTCTGGCGGTAAAACGTTCCAACCAAAATATCAATCACCCTCAGCAGCTGGAATCTGAAGGGGTAGACTCAATCAGCAGGGGGAAGTAAGGGGAGAGAACTTGAACCAAGTGGTTATTTGATGTATCGCCCAAGCAGCCATACTCCTTGCAATCCTACCGTCCACAATAAATTCTAATGTTGATTTATTTTTGAAATGCAAATTGATGATTAATCTATGGATGAATGACGAATATTCAAATGTGACGTTAATGGTGAAATATTTTTGTAGAGACGAGATATATAAAATCGTCATCTATCATCAGTGTACATGTAACGTCATAGTTTCCAAAACCTTTTTTTCAAAATGTTGCAGTTTCCTTTAATGAGTCAAGGACCATGTGATTGCTAGTGGTGTGGTATTATTTGTCTCCCCAGCTTCAAACCCACACAGGCACTTTATAAACGTTTTTTTCCAGGGGACAGATTAAAGACAAAAGCTGCCTTAAGTTCACTTTACAGTAAGGGTTCACATGGAATTAAGCCCAAACTAAACACCAAGAGAGTTCCGGCTAGCCATTACAGGAAGTCACGTGGGCGAGATTCACGTTTACATAAACGAGAAGCATTCACGTCGAAAGATGGACACACCGAAGTCTGTCGGCCATTAGACACGGAAACGGATTATGAATACTCTCGAGATTTGGCTGCTACAAAAACGCCTGTGGTAAAATTGGGCGATGGGTTTCTGATCAGAGTAATTGCAGGAACTATCTATGTATGTTTCACAAACGAAAACACTGACACAGTAACATTTTCTACGCGAAGTGAAGATGGCGGAAACGGGCGTCCATACTTGCCATCACGGTTAGACGTTTGGGCTCAAGCTCCATCTGGTCGTATTGGAAGACAATCTCCAATGCTTACAAAACTTGGCAGGGATGTCAGCGGAAGACACTGAAGAAAACAATGAACCATTACGGATTGTTCCCTGAAATTCTGTTAGTTTGGAGGTATCGAACAACTTTAGGTGTGCATATGGTATAATGGTTTGGTCCGTAGAGGACCCACTCTTAATTGCAGAAAGGCTTTCGATTGTGTATGACAATCTCCTGTCGTGACACGAAAACACGAGCTGAAGTAAATATTTAACACTGAGGAATATAATTATTAATATCCTTGCCAAATCAAAACATGTGAACCTAACTGTACAGACATTGTCATCAAATCATGCGTTTGTACGAGAAGATACAAAATATTATCAGGTTATATATTTGTACAAGGTGTTAACCTCTTTCTGAATGTGGTTAACCCCACCCCCCCCACCCCCACCCAATAATGAATGATGGGCCATTTATTCCTACGAGAAAGCAGATATGAAATTATTAAGAAAACACTTGTTATGTATGATGCAGGGCAATGTTACAATTTTGTTATTATGTTGATACACATCGTTTGACTGAATGTCATATATAGCACCACCCCATTTAAGGTTATATGATGCCATCGATGAAATAAAAATAAGCATATCTAAGGAGTGTTAATGTTGTTCTGTTAAAAGGAGGAAATCGTTTATATTGGGTGATAATATAATTTACATAACACATATCATACCCACTTGAATACATCACTAAGTGAAATGAATACATAATTGGCGACACGTTTCATATTCACAATCATCAGATTCAGCTAAATTAAGTAGGCAGGATTGTGCTAATACATTTCCGTCACCTTTAAGAATCATATACAGTTTCATGGGTTAAAAAAATATAATGTCGTATTCAATTGTAATGGATATTCCCTTTGCTTCAAAATGAAGATTTCAGTTTCATGATCGAGGTAAGTGATGTTCGTGAGTCTTCCGTTATGTATACTGACTATACTTAAAGGCAAGAATTTTATGGATGTCAACTTCTTTATTGATGGACACGAGATTTCGAAGTATATTCTTACTTCTAAACGTCGTATCCATCACAATAAAGAAGCTGAGATCCATAAAATTCTTGCTTTTATGTGTATCACTTCTAAATGCCATTCAAAGACTATATACTGACTTTACACACTCTACCTCCTCTCCATGTAGACCGTCCGGTGTTGTAGCACTGCCGATGTTGTAGATGTGCCTTTCCACTGTGTACCGGTTCTTTCTTTCAGAAACTGCAGCTGTATTCTTCTCACTCTGGTTGTCATGTCACAAGTATTAATTTTCAAAGTATATAATAATCTTTATAAAAATCAAACATTTTTTCAAAGTATAGCATATCTCACATAACCTACATTTAATAAGAAACGCGATGATATCATCCTGAAAAAATGTTACTCTGTTCAGCGTATGATCTTAACAGAACGATTACAATCTCTATGTTCAGATGCAGATATCCTTGTTATGAATGTCTGACTGACTGAGTTTGGTTTTACGCCGCTTTTAGCAATATTCCAGCAACATCACGGCGGGGGACACCAGAAATGGGCTGTTATGCATGTGGCAACATGCGATTTATCACAGGAACTATTAAATTTCAAAATGGATTGATCTTATCTATATTAGATTAGATTCATATTACATCAATGAGATATTTTCTGTGATGATACGTAATATCAGATAAACTAATATTGGGTTAGAATTGGTCCCCAGCTGCAACAATGTATGCTGAGGCGACCAAATGGATCCCTTGATTTGGTTTAGTGTTACCGTCCTTGGAAGACGTGGAACGTTGATCACAATCCTGATGACCTTGTTCTCTGGTTCCGATTATTTACACGCCCTATAGCTGCAACAACAAACAAGCAAAGAGGTATTAGCTACAAGTGACAATGATGAAGATATGTAGCTTGGCATCGATCAGATTTAAAATGGTTTTTATAATTATCATTTCAGATTCTGAGGCAGCGGTAGCAGCTCCAAGTGAACATCATAAACGATCGGTGGACTTCCCATTGTCACAGGACCTCCTTGACGACGATGCATACGACATGGACAAACGAGGCAGTCTCTTCCGGTTTGGTAAGCGCGGCGGTCTCTTCCGGTTCGGCAAGCGCGGTACCCTTTTCCGGTTTGGAAAGCGAGGCAGCACTCTATTCAGATTTGGGCGCGGCGGAAATGATGATCTGTGGGTGCCTGTCAACGAGGACGGACAAGATGCTAAAAGAAACTTCCACTGGGGCAGGGAGACAGAAGAGTGATTCAACTTTGATGTGCTGGTTGGCCAATATGGACTGTATTATAGAATTTATAACTGCTGCTGGAAGCTAGTTACTTAAAAGCATTCTACTGAAGCAATGATGTCGAGGACTTGGATGAAAATAACATTCTCAAGAAGAACAAACCACACATTTCTATAGGTGCCCTGATACTACAAAATGAACATATACAAACGTTTCTGTTTTCCAATACTTGATCTTAGTTGGATTGAGACTACTAATAACACATGTCTGGTCATCGGTGTGCCGTTGACCAGAAATGGACCCTACGGTACGGCTTAAGTTGTGATCCTTTTGGTATTGTACTGCAGTAACATGTCAGCAATATTTCATGAGTAATAACAAGCCGGGAAGAATGGAAATGAATCAAGTTTCATTTCTGTGCTATTGCCCTACTATGTATACTTCAAAGCAATTTTCTCCCCTAGACTCTGTAATATATGATGATTGTGACTGCCAGGAATAAAGCGGTGTTACTTTTGATGACTTTTGTTTTACCTCTCTGCTCTTGTACAGATCAACGTAACTGCCGGGCAAAAGAAGGTATGCACTCATGTCTGATGGTGTCTAAAAATGAAATTTATTTCATACAGGCATACGATCTTGTAACGTTTTGACAACAATTTGTGTAAAATTCAGTTTTACACTTTCTTGTGCCCGGTAGTGTAGTGGTTGTAAACTGCGGAAATCAAGGCTTTCCTTCTCCATTTGGTTATGAAAGCATACATGATTGTAGTCTAAAGCCAGTCCTTACTGTCACATGTTCTAAATCAGAGTACACAAAACATTGTTCTTATTACTATGTTCAGTTAATTACATACTGGCCACATAAAGAAACTGTGCACACAGAAAATATACAGATAGGCAGACAGCGTCTTTATGCATAAATAAAGCTGTATACATAGCAAGTATTGGAGACAATCAAACGCTCATGCAGGTGCCAGGCGACGTGACGTCATTGTCATTCATGTGTTCACTGCAAGCCTGTGCAGCTTCAGAAATCGCTGTCACTGTCGAAAGCTTGATCTTTGGTCATTCAAACGTTCACAAATTCACATGAGAAGTCACATGCAAATCATGCCAAGATTAACATGTGCTCAGCGTCATGAAGCCATTGGAATGGTTCGAGCAGGCATTAGCCAACAACAGGTGGCAGCACATTTCCAATGCCATCGTAACACGATATCTGCATTGGTCAGGCGTTAGGGAAACAGTAATGACGTCGCCGACCACCCACGTTCTGGGCGTCCCCGAGTAACGACGCCAAGACAGGACAGATGGATTCGGGTGACTCATATCAGACACAGGTTCCAGACGGCAGTAACCACGTCCCAAACCATTCCCCAGGCCTTCATTTGGAAAATTTGGTAGCCTCTATGCGTCGTCGATGCACTGCTGTGCTTCACGCGCATGATGGTCATACCCGTTATTGACTTTGTGACTTCGACGTGTAACCCCCGACTCAATTTGAACTTCTGACCTCATCGTTACAGATATTGTTCATGTTCTTTTGACATGTTGTTGAGGCCCGATACTTCATCTTATAAAGTGTCTACATCATGTCGTCTTTTCTGTGTTGTATTCCAATTCTGAAGGAATTTTCTGTGTGCACAGTTTCTTTATGTGGCTAGCATATATGATACAACGCCAGATTCGACTACCTGCCTCTGTTGTAACAAATATATATTGAACTGTTTCACGGTTTGAGAATACTATGACAATCTTTGAAGAAGAACGATCATTCTCTGACATTGGTAGGCAGACACACGTACACACTCTTACAAAACCGTGACCTGCAGTTGATGGCTTCATGATTGCTTATAAACCTGTTTCACAGATTGCCTGTACAAACGTGTGTCACATTAAAGTAAGGTTTATTACGTATACCTAAGAGACCGCCTCCGTGGTGTAGTGGTTAGAACGTCTGCCCGGAGAGCGGAAGGTCGCGGGTTCGATCCCCGACCGCGTCATACCAAAAGACGTTAAAATATGGTACTTGTTGGTCCCTGCCTGGCGCTCGGCATTAATGGGTACAACAAGGACTGGTTGGCTCGGAGTCAGTATATTGTGTCTGAGTGGGGTATTCATGCTTCACTGGGGCATGGTATCTCAGTGGGCTAGCACTATAAAACCAGCTTCAGTCTGGGCTAGTACAAGCAGCCGCACCTCCACATACACACGCATGCACGTCGTCATATGAGCGAAATATTCTCCAGCGCGACGTTAAACCCAATTTCACCTCAGCCCACCTCAGTATACCTAAGGATTTGAGTGGAACAGGTAAGAAACGAAATGAGCTGATATCGTACATCTTTCTTCAAAATCGACGTTACCAATACCATGCCATATGGAAGAAATCTTGCTGACACAATAGAGCCTTAAACGGCCCAACGCCTTCAATGAATTAATAGTAGAAAGATTTGATGGAACAGATATTTATTTTTCAGATTTCCCAAGTCGCATGTTATTTCTTCAGTCGACAAACAATAATCGCTTCATCATGGACCTTTGTAACTGATGTGCCTCTAAGACATTAAGTTTATGGGACATTAACTGGACTCTGTCATGTTGATTGAAATGCTTACAATTTTCACCGGATCTCCGTTCAAACAACTCAAAGCAATCCGATTTTCCTTTCAAGTGATATCTTTAAATCTCTTGTTACGTGCACTGTATCAGTGAACGGGACGCTAGGAGTGAGTGAATACGGTGACGCATTTATTGCATATTGAAAGCCACACTCGATTACCTTATTTGGGATTTCTTAACTGCTTATATCCATTGTCCCCATTGTAGTATTGATTAGCCATCATCGTTTAAATGCAGTGACGCCAAGCATAAATCTTATGGGCAAACTCGAGAGAATCTGGTCTTATGTAAACTGTGCTGACTGACAAAATCTGGAACCACACAGTTTTCGTATTACAGAGACATAAAATATATGCTCTACCAGGATATTTTATTCTAATAAATAAGGTTTTTCATCATTTATGCAACAACATGCGCTTAAACAAATGCGCTATGGAACATTGCTTGTTTGATTGATTGAGTATGGTTTTACGCCGCTTTTAGCAATATTCCAGCAATGTCACGGCAGGGGACACCAGAAATGGGCCTCACACATTGTACCCACGTGGGGAATCGAACCCGGGTCTTCGGCGAGACGAGCGAACGCTTTAACCACTAGGCTACCTCACCGCCCGGAACATTGTATGAGTGACAAGTGCTTCTGGTAGAGTAGGACATGCTTATAATGTTTTTGTGAACACCTGGTGTTATCATTGATTTTCATATATCTCTTTACATAATTTTCATCACTATTTTGCCTTTTAAAACCAGTGAAATATTTTGCGTGATATAGTCAAGACTTTTCTTTGGCGTTAACGGTATTTATTTGGTAAATGTTTAAAAGTTTATGATGATATGCCGTACAATCCAAAATAGCGGCTTCTTATCCAATATCACCGACGAGAGTGTGAAGTGGGGCCATGATATCTGGCATCACGTAAACAGTGACATATTATTATAAAGAACTTTAAGATGACAGGCAGTAAAATAGTGATTTTGAAAGACAAAGATGTGTGGCCTCCGATCTGGTGATAACAGCTTCACGAACGTCAGAGATGGATAAGCTCGCAGTACATTTTCGCTGAACGGACAAAAAGCTTTGCATCAGCTTGAGACATTTCAACATTCTAACCGGAAAACTCAAGGACGGAAATTCATCGATTTTTGACAGAAGTCATACCCAAAGAGTTAAATCTTTGCCTCTTTTTCAAAGTGGCGGAGGTGTGTGCATTTCCTTTTCATAATGAGATCGCATCGAAACTCTAAGCAGTCTGGGATTAACCCTATTTAAATCAATTGTCATGTGGGCACACATCAGAGAGACTTCACGCAGGCCTGCTGTAGATGGTTTCGTGTCAGTGGAAGGGTTAATTGCCTATTGATCTTCAACTGACATTCACACGATGTACAAGTCACGATGTTAAGAGAAGCACCTTCTCAAGCGCATCGAATCAACACATTTAGTTGTTAATGTTCACCCGGTCTCTTCTCTTCTTAAAACATGCCATATATACGGAGATTGAAGAAACGCTTCATATCTCCCAGTCATCGGAAGTATAAAAATCGTTTCATACCGAGAATCTGAGGTTTTATAAAACGCCCAAGAGTATGTGTTATGTTTGAAGGTGAACTGGATGAGGATGTAATGCATTTGCTTCATGGGGGCTTTCATATGAATACACAATGCCATTTAGAAAGTGGTCAAATGTGGAAGCGTGGAAGTCGGGATGACTGTGTGGGTCAGATCGCTGACGATTAGGTGTGTGTGTGCTGGCGATTAGGTGCCTGATCTGAGAGTGTAGATTCGAATTCCGGATTTGACTCAACATGACAAACGTAGTTTAATCTCTACTATACTGAGAATGCGTAATCCTTAATATAACATATGTTACAGGACGTTCATAGTAACTAGTGATCGATGCAATGTTTGTGCATTTTTATCAACAAATCACTATATGTACCAGTTCGTCAATACTGTATTAAGCGCAATCATTCGTTGGGAAGAGTTGTCACCCTTAGGCGTGACAGGATCATATGATCCCGAACGCCACATCCCCTGGTGTGCTTTTACGTGGGATTCACCAAAGGTGTGTCCGTGTAAGGTCACTATTTTCCAACACTAAAATTACATAAAATATATTGATATGTTAGAAATACTGTTTTAACGTGGCGCCATTCCAAACTATCGAAATCTACTCCCTCCCTCGATCTTACATTTGCATCGTTGTAGAATAAGCGCCAGTTCGTGAAACAGTCAGCAGTATTACCTCAGTATCCATGATTCTTCTAAATAATGGCTTTGGTGCCTGTCAAGCGAGCGTCAGACATGTGAAACGAGCCGTCTGGACACCTCTCTGACACAGACGCTCCATGGAATCACCCTTTTGTCCTTGCAGAGTGTCACAACGCGACATTCCGCCAGCTGGATTTCCAGACTTTCACAACGTCCAACGATAGTAACCGCACAATGCGTACACATCAATCAATTTGTTTACAAGTTCAGAAAAGCGAGACTTTATGCTGAATCTTATGCTGCAGCTCATATCTCCAAAAATATCACCCTCAAGTTTGGAGCCGTATTTCAGTTTAGTTGTAATATGTGTTAGATGTGAGAAATTGAGTCATTTATAATTTTCTCTGATTCATTGGTACTCATTAATTAATCTAATCTCATACGCCTTCAAAGTGGTTTAAGCAGATATTCAAATATTGTTCCAACGACTTGAATCAAAGGTGTCGGGACTGCAAATTTGCCCGAGACAACACCTAATCCCCAATTAAAGTTTCTCAAAATGAAGATTTATTACAGATTTAAATCTGACAAAACATTCACTTGGTCTGATGTCATCATCACCGTCCTGGTGACTGACCCGTCCATGACTTGCCCTGAATAATTTATGGCATAGCACCACC